GGTCCCAAAAAGCGGGCTGCTTTTGCCACAGAAATATCTTAAAATAATGTCCGTTTACCACTGTTAAACTGACTGTGAGCTTAAACATCTGTCTATCAAAGGCTTGGTCAGCGCCGTTCAGAAGTTTCATGTCATTCTTCAAATCGTGTTTTTGACCTCCAAGAGATGAACACTGGGCTAATATTCAATTAACATCAAACGATTACGAGTACAATTTACAATTACATCGTTTGCCAGTTTCTGATTTGTGTCTGCGTGCGTTATAAACAATAAGAACCGAAGGTTCCAGTAATACTAGTTCTTTTAAGTCATCCGTATTTTGGTTTTATTGAGGAAGAGACAAAATTCATGTACTTCCGTTAAACCACAAAAAATCATAACTTAATATCTCTGTTTGGAATATTATAACATGGATCGATCGTTAGGATGTAGTCTTTCAATTTTTATCTTCTCGGCCTTGCAGCTTAACTTCCCTGTCATAATGCCGATTGCTTTCTTCAACTGACTGACTTTTCTTTAATGAATCTTTTATCTTAAATACTCCAGGATTAAGCGGAATTTCACAACTGAACGTATAAGGTGATGAATTTTAAGATTCATCAATTATTAGAACTTATTTTAGATCCCTTTTAGTCCGCGAAACTCCTTATTGAACTTATTATCTACCGCAATTAAACTTTTAATTATTAGTTAACTTACAGCTGAAACACTATATAGTGAGCAAGGAAGTCACGTATTTTAAAGCGGACCGAACGGATACTAGACTTAAATAATCACATCCAACACGTTCTACAAACAAACTTTTTCTTCTATGTGGTTCAGGGGAGAGAAAATCAGTTTCTGAACCGAGTTTTTCTTTTCTAACAGGGCGGTCCGCAGACTTTATGGCCGAAACTTTATTTTTCCTCACAAATCCAATTTTCATCAACTGTACTTTGTTTATTTTGAGTTGACCTGTGGTCCTCTTTATTATTCTATACATTAAATCTAAAAGTGCACAGTTCACTAAGAGCCAAATTTAAACTTGTTGATCTGGCCTTGTTCCTGTGTTGATGTTTTCAACTGTAGAGTTGGTTGTTCTCCTATAATTTAGCGTCTCTTTCAGCTGCGTGACGTTCAGATCCAGTCATTCGGAGTGCAATGGACATACATGAAATTTCCGCAATTCGAAAAACATTCTATACCATGTGATATATTAAAAAAAAAACAAGATGGTCGGGAGCGCTATTCGTTATCGCTTTTTTGGGGGGATAAAGCCTTTACTGAATACGATCATGAAACGACGTTGAGATGCGCTGAGAAACTTTATCATTTTGGAGTTATGAAACTATATGCAAGCAGAGTAGTTTTATACTTGTTTTTTTTTGCTATATTTTTCCTTCTTACCTTTTTAAAATTTTCCATGTTTAAAGACAAGGTTTTGAAACAAATTAAATGTGTTTAAATTCAATCCCGCCTTTTCTAGAATTCTTTGAAAAACACGTACAACGATTCTCTGCATGTTCATTTCAGTAGTCGTGGTAACAAAAAATACGGAAGTTTTTGAAAACTAAATATATCATTGAAGCGCTGAAACATTCTCCGACGGACCCACATCCATTGTTAGCAAGGTCTGGCAATCAAGTGATTCAGTATATTCTCAGCATTGAGTCATCCCGTAAATAATTACCAAGTTTAGAGAAAGAAATCTTAAAGTAATTTAACTGGTGTCAGTCAAGTTGTTTTACTTAAATAAAAATTACCATAATCGAAACTGACTTTCTTATCGTGCGCCGGAACATATTAATTAAGATTTTTTTTAGAAATTCGCTCCGTCAGTTTCAGCGCAATTATTACAAATTCAACTTAAAAGTAACTGACATTTGTTAGAATGCAAATCGCAAATTCGGAGCGTCCATCCATTTTTTTTTTAATGTGAACTTAATTTTTAAGTTGAAGATGTGATTACTTTTCAGATTTTCACGACAACAGAAAACATATCGCTCAGTATCGTTCATTTGATCACATTTTCTTTTTATGACTTTTCGCGTACTGAAAATTGATGGGGCACGTAATTAAACATTTCACCCTTATTTAAGTTCAAAGCATTTTGTCAAGAAGGCTTTATTGACTTTAAAATTCATTTGAATAATGAAAGGCTGATGAAATGCACCCGAAATAATAAACTAGTTATTGTTATGCGATCATGCACATTTATATCGACTGCACAACTTCCGGTCTTCATGTCTCCTTGCGGAGAATCATTTCAAGACAGTAACTCGTGAAAACTGGCATGATGGCATGGAATGTTTAATTTTTACCCAATCAACTTTGACAGGAAGTCTAAAAATCTGAATATCAGATCTCTATTTGGTAACAATCTTTTGCTTTGGGAGAGAAAGGAGACAGGTGAAACGGTTTGTCCTAACAGAGGACAATGGAATTTTACCGAGGCCCTGCGCGAGTTTAACCAGAACTGACCAAAGCAACGAGCCGCATATTTTTCTACATTGCTTGTCTGTGTTTTTTTCAAGGCGGCCCCAGAATAACCTTGTAGTAGAACCTTGAATGACCAAGGTTTCGGTGACTTATCGATGCGTCGTACGGAGCAATCATATTTACCAGATCATCCCGCAATCGATAAACAGTTTCGGCGAAAATTCTGTTGAGAAGTTTTCAGGCCGCCGGGCTTTTATAAATTTTCAAATTATACCTAAAACGACTACGGCTACTGATTAAACATTTTTCTATTTTCTATGCTGGAATTTTCAGCTGAATGGTCCGAAAATAATGAACATTGCTTCACATAGTTTTCCTATTATATGGCGATAGGCTTTGAACGAAACTGGGGTATGCAATAACTAAATTTCCGTACTTTTTTGCACTAGTTTTTTACGTCATCAAAGAGTTGAAAACGAGTAAATTTTTAGGAAAAAATAAGGCGAGGCGCAGATAGTTACCAGTTTCTATTTAAAATACTTTTAAAACGATCAGTTGCATAGGTTCTTAGTGAATTGTTTCCTAGCTATCCACATAATAACCGCTATGCTTGAAACTGGGCCATAGTAACAAATTCCACTTCATTATTTTATCAATTTCGCCTAAATATATATTAGTACATAGCCAAGAGAAAAGGTTGCTGGAATTTACCACAGTTCACCTATACGAAAATGCTTGGATCCGGCTACACAAATGTTCTCATACAGAAAAAAAACCCGCGCGACTAAGAACCTACATTTTCCCCAGTAGTTTCTTTCATAAATGATAATTAGCCCAAATTTAGGCTATTTGTTTTCTATAAGTAAGTTCTTATGTTCTGAAGAAATAAATACATTGCAGCTGACAGCATTTAGTGATATTTAGCTTATTCCTTATATAAAATTTAATTTGCATACCATTGCCGTTTGAGTGATAAGGCACCAATGTCACCAAAGAGGATCCAGAATGTTGACTTACCTCACTTGCCCAATTGTAAGGAATTTTCTTTATATAGATTTTAGAAAATAAGAACCTGTTTAAAATTTTTAGGCTAAACAGGTTCTTTTTGTACTTAGAGGGGGGCAGGAGCGGCAAATTTTAGCCTAACAGGTTTACTTCTTAAAAACCAGTTTCTTACGTAAGTGTATTGTAATTAAGAGGTTAGAGTGCTCATTTTAAGTCAGGTACCAACGAAACGTGCAGGGAATCCTACCAGAGGGTTTTAACAACTAATACATTATTAGCTGTCACTTATAACTATTCTACCCCAGTTATGATAGCTGCAGTAATAGTTTTTTAAAAATATATTTTTAGCAGATTAAAACCGTAACTATACCGAAAGGTTCCTGTTTCGTTATAATTCGGCTGGGTGTTTCAACCATCGGAGTTTACTTGAAGTAAGCCATCTGACCCAAAGGTTTTCTAAAATTTTTTGTGAAAATGACTTCTTGCCAGAACCTCTTCCGCTTCCGCCGTTGTTTACTTGCTTCTTAGACACATTGAAGCCAAATTTGATGCAGTTACGGGATATGACGTCCGATAGCGTTCAACGCGTTAATCAGTCAACCAAAATTCGACTTTTTTCGCAATTTTGGGGGAAAAATTGTTTAAAAAGTAGCACGGGAAGTAAAATACTCGATTGTAATAACATGTTTTAACCCTTAAGTTCTAGGAATGCTATATTTCTACTCTGTTTGGATAAAACTAAACTTTCTGTAAAATCAAAGATGGAGGCCAGCATGGCGGCTTTTTTGAATCAATTAGGTGCCAGGCCCCGCCATATCCCATAATATATTTCCCTTATTGTAGAGCTGAGCACAGGCTCTCTCTTGAACTCCTAGTGTTTTCAAAATATTACACCACCGCAAAAAAAGGGGGGGGGAAGGTTCAACTGACCCGATCCTACCCCCACCTCCTTACGGCGTTCGAGTCTCTTCGAGTATGTTTTAAAATAAAATACCGGTATCCCATACAGTCATTACACGTGGATTTATTTTGTTCAAATTTACTAATAAAAGAAAAAGGTTCTCAATAAAATAAACTTATTACAAAGGCATTAATGCATACTTTGAAACTCTTCATAGTAAGTGGCTTTAAATACATATACACGGCGAAAAGATGCATATCGCAACAAAAGCAAAGATAATTATAATCTCTCAGACAGCTTTTAAAGCGGATTCAAATTCCTCTGGTCAAGAAAAAACGAACCAGAAAACGTGCAAAAAAGATAAAATCTAAATTCAGACTTGAAATATGATGGCTTTGAATTATTAATCAAAAATTTTTAAGAGCGTGAAATATAAGAGTGCATAGCTCAAGGTTGTAACCCCATCGTAATGAAATCTTGAAGAAGTTGTTACAAATAAAGAGAGTTCTTTCAACAACCCAAATGTAATTTGTAATCGTTAGGTTTTTGTCGCGAACGTGATTGGCCGTCAGGTTAGTGATTTAATCAAAATTGTTTTCAAAGCCGCGATGAATAAATTAGCACGAAAAAAAAGGAAAACATCTTTGTGACAGGTGAAATGTTGCAATCAGGGTAAAAAGATTTCAAAGTTTTTAGAATGGGTGTGAGGTGGTTCGTGTTCAAGTGTTAACACGAAGCGGAAATAGCTTTGTTGTCTTAGTTTTAAGGCCACAACAAGTCAAATTCCGTGAGAGAACAATTGTTTATGAATTGCTACAGCGACGAATTCACCCAAAATACTCCGTAAGTTCAATTGTTGCTGCACTCGAATTTCGGTCACTCGAAGGAAATCAAAACACAATATAATTTACGTCAAGGTTATTCAGTTCCTATTGAAAATAGTTCCATGATCTCTTACTAACTTTATTCAGCGCTGGTTAGACTGGTAAAAATTGCAAACGAAACAGAAAAGGAGAAAAAAAAATTAGGATCGAATAGCTCGAACTTTGTGTCCTTTTAATATCGGAGCTTGTCGACATCGACGTTATGGAATTCAGTATGTTTTAAAGAATTTTCAAGTATTTGGAACTTGTTTCAACGGACGGAGAGCCTCACTTCGCATCAAAACAACTCTTCATCGAGAGCGTATTTCAAGAGAATTTCATTAGCAACATGAGTGTGGGCTTTGATTCTTCATCTGATGAAGAAGAACCACTTTTTAACATGGAGGATGTCGAACGTCGTACGTTCGACAAAGATAAGGATCTTCCATTGTGGAAACGTTTCCTAAACACTTTGAAAAAACTCGGAGAAGACAGAAACAGTCTCAAATCTACAATTTGCTACTGCGGTGTGTTCATGGTCTTTGGAATGTCAGACGAAATACTGGGCCCTACATTACTGGAGCTTAAATGCCTGACCGGGAAGTCTATAACTGTTATGAGCGTGCTGTTTTTTGTGCATGATTTGTGCAACGTCTTCGGATCAACTTCTGGTGGTTATCTAGTTGATCGGTAAGTAGCGAATTTTTGTTTTCTTTTGCTGTACAACCGAGCTTTGTCAAGGAAGACAAAGAGTTGGTAAGAGAGACTTCAAAAAATTATGGGAATCACTGAGGACCAGTGGGTCGTCGAAGAAGGAAAATCAAGAAAGAAAATAGTTTCACATTTCACTCCGCAAAAATCACAAATACACCTGAAAAAAATCGTTCAAGAGCTTTACAATGATGACAGTATTTATTAGCATGTACTTTAGTCACTACCAATCAAGGTCCTTGATAGTTAGTTACGTCTTGCTAAAGCTAACTGCATCAAGTGCATACAAAATCGATAAGTGGTATTTTGATCAAAGTTCCACCCAATCTCGATGCCTATGATTTCGTATCTTTTGGGCGTCAGATTATTCTGTGACGCGATAGTAAAGGTTCTACCAAAGAATAATTTAAAGTATTCTGGCTGCAGAAAAAAAAATTACCTAAATGTAGTTGTTTAGAAATTTCGCTTTGTCGTATATTTAACCCAGCACGAACTTATCAGTTTTCAAGTGAAAATGAGCTTGAATTGGAATAGGAATATCAAAATTTTCAACTAAGATTAAAACTGAAGTAGCTTCCTTTCCTCGTAAAAATTACAATATCTGAAAAATTACCTAAATGTAGTTGTTTAGAAATTGTGCTTAGCGTATATTTAACCCAGCACGATCTTATCAGTTTTCAAATGAAAATGAGCTCGAATTGGAATAGGAATGTCAAAATTTTCTGCTAAGATTAAAACTGAAGTAGTATTCCTTTCCTCGTAAAAATTACAATATCTAATCTATCTTTATGGCTAAAATTTGTATTTGTAGGTTTTGAAATCACGGTGCCTAACTGATTTTGTCAAGACAAAATAAATCGACGATCTTTCTTCACAGGTGTATCTGCGTGAATTTGATTTACCCTAAGTTTTTTTTTCAATCCTTTCCAAAAACAGAATATTAGTTACAATGAACAGTTGAATATATAGAAGACGGAGTGTTATCAAATATTACGCATGGAAAAGATTTATGACATCGCTTCGTTTTGTTTTCACCGTTAATTAAACAAGGAAATTTGCTCGGATGAACTTTATTTAAAGATAAAGAATCAGTGCTATGAAAATTTTCACGTTCGGAATAAACACTTTAATAATTAACAATTTGAAACAAGGTTTTCTTTTCTTTGTGTGAAAATATAATGAGGCAGCGATATAGCGGGAGAAAGCTAATGGGAAAATGTATAAAAGTTATCATCTTTTCTCCCCAATATCACCTAGTCAAACTGCACAGCTAATTTGAAAATTTTCTGCGCACAAAATCGTCTATATTTTCCTTTAATTAGGGGGAAAAGAAAAACCAGCGTTGGGATCAAGTCTTTTTTCCCGAAAAAAATTATTTCTCTTAATTAAAAATTAATGATTTATGGAACTGCATACTACATTAGGAACAAAAGCTACATTGTACGACGAAAAATAATTTCCACTTGCTAAACCTCAATGGCAAACAAACTAATATAACAAATCTTCGGGAAATTATTGAATTTTTTCTCAATTTTCTGAGCAAATTTCTCAGTTACATAATGGCTTCCGTTTGACGTAGATCCATTGCCATCTGAACACTTTTAGTGACCTGCGTATTAAGTAGCAAACCCCTTAACGTGTTGAGAATTGTCTCACCGAAGGAGAGCTACTGAGTAGCACTTTTCCTGTGGCACTTTTAATCATTCTATATTCCATGGTTCCAGCATTTAAGTCTAAATGAAAAATCCCTTAGTGTTACCATTCAAATATTTTCTTGTGATACTGTTCATGTCTTTGTACAAGGTGATTCTTGGTTTTGAGTCAGTGGATTGGAAATTCTAAAGTGTGCCACACCATTCATGATGAAAGCTATTGAGCAGTACTTTCCTGTGGTACTGTTTATTATGCTTGACACAATATGGTGGTTCTCACTTTTGAATCTGCAGATAAGATACTTAACTGTAACCATTCAAGTGAAAGCTACTGAGTAGTATTTCCCTCAGGTACTGTTTATTATGCTACACAAGGTGGTTCTCACTTTTGAGTCTGCAGATAAGATAATTAGTAACGTTCCCATTCAAATGAAAGCTACTGAGTAGTATTTTCCTCAGGTGCTGTTTATTATGCTGTACAAGGTTGTTCTAACTTTTGAGTTTGCCGATAAGCCACTTAACTGTAACCATTCAAATGAAAGCTATTGAGTAGTATTTTCCTCAGGTGCTGTTTATTATGCTGTACAAGGTTGTTCTGACTTTTGAGTCTGGCGATAAGATACTTAACTGTAACCATTCAAATGAAAGCTATTGCCGGAGTAGTATTTTCCTCAGGTGCTGTTTATCATGCTGCACAAGGTGGTTCTAACTTTTGAGTCTGTGGATGAAATCCTAAAGTGTGACCATTCAAATGAAAGCTACTGAGCAGTACTTTCCTGTGGTATTGTTTATCATGCTGCACAAGGTGGTTCTTACTTTTGAGTCTGTGCAAGTTGAAACCCCAAAGTGTAACCATTTTTAATAAGTCCTCTTGCAGTACTTTCCTGAATTATTGTCTACTTCTAATGCATTCTAAATTCCAATTCTTTTCCTGAGAAATCATCTGGAAAGAAAGTTTGAAATCTATCTAAACTTCTTACGTGCCAGCATATTGAACTATTACGACGTCACGTTTTTGTATGGAACAATGGTTGCAATCAGATGACATCATTAAAATTAGGAACGTCAGAATGCAGGGAATTTTAAAGTGAAAAAAGGGTTCGTTAGCACTTTTTTTTGCTACAGGTCTTCCTTTCTATTACCACTCTCTAAGCGGCCAGTCTGTTTAAAAGCGTTGTTTGTCGAATTTACTTCTGCCCTTTTACTTAAATTTTAGCTAAGATTTCCTTCAATCAAAAAATGACTCAATTAAGTTGCATTCCTTGTTCAATATTTTTTGAGAATTTTCGGATGAGTTTTCGAATGTTTTTCATGTATAAAAATTAGAGGGGGTGTTCAAAAGTTTGGAAAATTTGGAAATAATAAATTTGAGAGTTGTTAAAAATGAAAATATGAAGAGAATAATTGCCAACGAGGCAACCGAGCTCAGAAGCGAGATTGACTCGGCGGCAGAATTATATATAACGCCACGCAATGTAGGCAAAAACTCTCAAATTCTACTTAACCCTCCAAAATTTGCATTTTTTCCATATTTGGGTGTAAGTTAGACTCCATATTTGGGTAGTGACATCATGGTCTTGTATTTACAACGCGTGGTCCGAAATTGTGCAGCTGTTCGTTGTCTGTTCAAGAGGCCCTAACAGGTGAGCAAGCTTTAATACGATTTCTAGTTTAAAAGGGCTATTTAATGGAGCTCTGTTTTGCTTTATAAATTGCGTTTAAAGCCGCAGCTGATCAAGGAATAGAGTCTTATGCTCAAATTTTTTGTCAAAACCAGCTTGTTCTTTGCAGCTCCATTTACAATGAGGTAGCGTGTTCGCTTCTCGAATCAGAACCAGTGTTTTCCGTGTTCTCTTCCTTTCTGAATCGAATTTTAAGCGGTATTTTATCAAGGCATGGAAGGTTTTATTCTCAAAACTTATCTCAGAACTAGCGTGTTCTTCGCAGGTCGATTTACATTGAGCCAGTCCTCACCTCCTGTGAGGAATGCAACGTATTTGCACCCCTTTTTTTGGAATTTATTCATGTCTTCAGATTTTGTCAACCAGGATGTTTTTTTGCTGCTCGATTTACATTTATATTGAGACAGCCCAAAACTCCCGTGAGGAATACAACGAACTTGCCGTCCTTTTGTTTTGAAGACTATCATTATGCCTTTCAAGAGAATCTTTGTCCTGTGACACTCGCTCATTAGATCTTTGTATTTTATTCAAGTTTATATTTTTATACCTCTGATACATTCCGCCCCATTCTTGCGCTTTTCACACATTTTACTTTACACCATTTTTTTCTTATTTATATTACTACGCGAAATATTTTTCTTATTCCTGATGACGCTGTTGCTCGGAATTTAATTATTATTTTTAATTTCAGCAGTCAAAGGCCTCATTTGAACTATATTTTTCTTTCTAACGTTTATAGTTTTGATACAATGGAATTTTCCATGAAAAATAAGTGCTAACTTGGCAATGCTCATATTTACCAACAAAGCTTCAAGCCATGTTGTTACTGTTTAATATAAGTGAAAGCCTAGAGTGTGCCAAAGTTGTTGTTTTGAAGTTGGGTGCCATCCTTTTCTATAGCGGAATCCATTTTAAACCTCTGAAATTATAAAAAAAAAAAACTTGTCGCCAAGATCTGCATAGGCACATTCCGCAAAAGATAAACGAATTCGCCTCGTTGGCACTTGCCGGAAGGTACCCCTAGTTAGTAAATAAATGCCAGATAGACCATCACCACAACAAATGTGCCTCTGAGCCGATTAGTGGACTTCATTCCTAGGTTCTTGCTCCATAGGGACGGGTAGGAGAGATCCCTTGGAGAAAGGTTGCTTATTTCGTTTCCAAATCAATATCATTCGCCCCCCCCCCCCAAAAAAAAACTCCGCCCTTACGAAAAAAAGTTTACACTAGTTGCTGTTTTTCCACCAGTTTCAATCCAAATGTGCTGGTGACGATAGCTCTTGGTCTAAGTGCCATATGCATCATTGCCATTCCGCTTAGCCGGATCTTCGTCATTTTGCTGTTTTTAGCGGGAATATTTGGAGGATGTTTTGGAGCCACAGATACGTTCACGACTGTTCAACTTATACGTATGTACGGCAAACAGGTCAGAGCATAAAACAAATAATGTAATTTAAAGAATTTGTTTGTGCTTACAATTGTTATGGTAATCTTTTAATGTATATTTTAGTGGGCCCAGTTGTTCGAAGGCCGATTAGGGCTATCCTGGCGGCGTGCAAATTTTAATCCATTTTTTTTCTTTTCTTTCGTTCAAAAGCACTGACTCGGATAATTTTTTTATTCTTTTAAGAGCGTCTAATCTTAAGAATTAAACTGAATTTGCTTTTTAAGCTTTTTCAGTCTGAATTCAAAGTTCGACCTGACCCTGGGTTACCTTAACCCAGCTTTGCGCAACCTTGCCCTGAAAGTGCCTACATCCTATTAACACTTTGTTTTTTCGCTTGCAGGTTTCCCCTTATTTACAGGTAAGATTGCACAAGAAAAATAACACTAATTAAACAAAATACCAATCATAAACAGTGATTCTGTCTATCACACTATTGACGTTCATAAAATCAAGGATGGCGACGGCAGCGAAAACGTCGTCTGAAAAGTGAATTCGCATTTTTTCAATCTTTATCGCGATTTTTCCAGTTCACCTACTTTAGGAAACGTAACCGAATTCTCCTGGAGTTAAATTCCTAAGAACCATATCTAAGTTTAGAAAGCGAAAAAAACATTTCATCGTCGCTTGTTTACGTCCTCTATGCATAAAATGTTGCGTTATATTCTTGCAGCGACGGCAAAGAAATGAATATAAAAGGTGCCCTGCACGTGCAAAGTTGGTGTCTTGCTGATCAAACCTATTGCATTTTTGATCTTCTCGTTGCCGTCGCCGTCGTCGTCGTCGTCGTCGTCGTCGTCGTCGTCGTCGCCGTCGTCGTCGCCGCCGTCGTCGTCGCCGTCGTCGTCGTCGTCGTCGTCGTCGTCGTCGTCGCCGTCGTCGTCGCCGCCGTCGTCGTCGTCGTCGTCGTCGTCGTCGTCGTCGTCGTCGTCGCCGTCGTCGTCGCCGTCGTCGCCGTCGTCGTCGTCGTCGTCGTCGTCGTCGTCGCCGTCGTCGTCGTCGTCGTCGTCGTCGTCGCCGTCGTCGTCGCCGTCGTCGTCGTCGTCGTCGTCGTCGAATCTTAGGTTCCTAGTAATAGTCCAGTTTCGAGTTCGCTATGACCGCTGAATTAAAGAAGTGAAGACGCATTTTATACAGGCTTAGCCTCCATCTGAAGTTATATATTCACAAATTCCAAAGAGAAAAAGACCTGTTTATTACACTGTCTATTGTGTATGGTCAAATTTCGAACACTTACTCGCCAGAATCTCTTAATATTTTACTTTACGTCGTAAGAATGTGTCGTAATTGTTTGTATTCAGCGGTAATTTTTAATTCGAAACTGGACTAGTCAATTCACTCTGGTTCCTAGGCTCTACACTTCTCTTACGGCGTGGGTGGTTTCGTGAGCCCGCTGATAGCGCGGCCCTTCCTGCGTCGGAAATGTGTAATGGTGGTGAATTATACGACGATCATCGATGAGTGGCCATATGCTAACTCCACTTCCGGTATCGACAACTCCACCCAGATATACCACACCCAAGAAGAGATGCATCGCGATACGCATGTCAGATGGGCTTACTGGATTGTAGCTCTGTTACATGTGAGTATCAATGAATTTATTGGTATTCTTGCTACTGAATCTAATACACCCTGCTGCCAACAGAGTCTTTCTTTCACTTCCTTGAAATTGACGTACTCGAGAAAAAAGACTCTCCTTTAATTAATGGCGTTAGATCTTTTTGAGCATGCGCTGCTACTCAGGCCTAGTAGCCGTGCGTTTTGTACAGCGGGCTCAGTTAATTATGATATCGGTTTATCAGTAAATGGACTAACTCGCTCCCAAAATAACAGTTTGACGAAAGAAAATAGGATTGACCCGTCCAGTAGTTCGGGCTGCGGGGTGCAACCCCGGTGCAACCTCAATGGCTTGACGCGAGTCATGCAGGGAAACCTTTACTCCTCCTCCTCAATCAGGAAGAAGACACGCCGTTGGAGACTCTGCTCGCAGGCTGACTCTAAAATTGCAAGCTGTAACTATACAGGACTGACAACTTAGTAGAAGTTTGCAGTTTCTCACCAGATGACAATAAACGTCCCTAAGGCTCCTTATTGTGTACTTAAGTTAGTGTACTTGGGTAAAGTACGCCAGCCTGCGAAACTTGACGAGGCTCTTTACGCACTGTAGCACTTTAATCAACTACTGATCAACTACTGCATTCACATTGCACTCACACTGATACATTACGGCCCGTGACTACAGTTTGACGTGTTTTACAAGGATCATTCTCACTTAAGAAAGAACCTTAAGCTTCCTCAGTTGGTAAATCACAAATAAACAGTTTTAAGGATTACATATTTAGTATTGATTTACCGATAAAGTGGTTTAGAAAAACAAAATGCAAGTCCCGTGAACAACCCTCTACACCAGCATTTAACCTTTCACGATTACAGGATCGAATTATAGCACGACCCAAAGAAAGCTAGAAAAATGGTATGGGATATAAAGAAAAACCATTTTTTTCCTACAATAATTAAATACGATCGTGAAACTGGTAATGAAAAACTCGTAGACATAATAAAATTAGTACGTAGATAAATACATGGATAGATAGACAAAAACAAAGACAAATTGTGGATTCGCTTTTTTTCAGCTTCCAGTAATATTTGGGTTGTTGTGGCTAATGTTTACACGTAAATTGGCCAAAATCACAGGGACCCTTAAGAAATACGAGTATGAAATGTACGATGAGCAGAGGCTTAACAACCCTGGTAAGTTAACATCTTTATTTAGTATTAATGTTATTATCATCATTATTGTCTCAGTACTGTCATAAACATTGCTACCATCATCATCATCATTATCAGCATCTTATTCACTACCATATTCGTCAACATCACCATAACCATTACCACTACCATCAATATGCATTAGTATGCTAAATCCTAATTCTGTTTTCTTCCATTTAACGGGTTGTAGCTAGTGTTGCTTTAATACTGTTTCTACATGTGACTCTTGATTCACTATCGTCAACTTTCTCTTACGTCCAAACTTTGGAAATCAGTCAGGTTTTCTGATTTCTCGTAAAAAAAGAAATCGCATCTAAGCTGGACGTTTTTCATCGCTAGCTGTAGTGCGTTACAAAATTTTTCCAAAAATCTGGAAGAACTGTACAAGAACTGTTCTTAGAAAAAAGATCGCGCCCTTGGGTAAGGCTCCTTTATGCCTAAATGGCGCAATTCCACAATTGGTTTCGCACTTCATTTAATACTATTCCAATAGACCTTTTTACCATTACGGTCTCCATATTGATATAAGTTAGATTTAAGGAGTATTATGGGATGCCCAGGGAGCATAAGCACATTCCGTTTAGTATTTACGAGCGCCTTTCGGGGCATTTTTTCTTGAAGTTTTCTTAGAATCGAATAAGATTGTAATGGGAAAACTGATCGTTGTGCCGGGTTAGGATGTAATAGTGATCGCCTTTTCCTGTGAAAGACCATATTTTCTAATACTAAGCGAGTACATAGGGAACCCACGCTCTTATTTGTAAACTGCAAATGGAAATTAAATAAGAGATAAAGTCTTACCTGCTTTGCTTTATTCTTGAATCTGCTGTGGTGCGAAGTGAAGTGGAAGTTGTTTTACGATGCGAAAACTACTTCATGTTCAAGTCGACGCTTTAACCGTTGTTGATTTCACCATGCTTTATGTGGTCAAGCGCCGGTTGTTTTTATCGTCTAACGTTTCATCGTTGGTTATTAATTTATTAACAATATTTGAATTAACGGTACGGACCATTAGAAACCCTAGGGGAGGGGGGGGGGGGGGGGGCGAAGAGGGCGAAGTACAAAAAAAATATTCGTACAAGGGAAAATTAAATGAGAAAAAATTCTTGCACGCCAATTAATCCTAAAAAATATTCATGCTATGGCCTAAAATAAATTCATACAAGGAATTTGATAACGAAAAAAAATTCCTGCGGCTCCAAAAATTCCCCTCCCCCCCCATAACTTTTCTAATGGTCCGTCCCTAAATAATGACAAGGGTCGAAACTCGATAGCTGCTCTCGCGCAATCATTGCCTCCAGTTCACTGGACCAGTTTACAACACAGTGCCGCGCGAGGTAACATTCCACGATGACCATTCAGTTAAAACGAAAACAACAAGGCAACATAGATCTGGATGTATATGCAATCGAATTCCTGAAACAATCTTAGAACCAAGCAGAAAAGCTCAAGAAACTTTCACACGTGAAACGCAAAGTTAAGTTCCGGTCCAGTCACGTGGAGGCATTCGTAAATCGAAAAGTCAATAATCAATTTCTGATCTTTTTGAATACGAAGATTTTATTTTAGAGAGAAAAAAGTAGCCCACCGTACATTTTATCCCTTAAACCTTTGTTGGAATGAATTTCGTGCAAAAACCACTGGCAATACTTGAGTAAGGCTTGAAAATAAATCGGTCCTCAATAACCAACAATAAACAACATCGGTCCTTAATAACCAACAATGAAACGCGAGACAATAATAACAATCGACGCGTGGCACCAACAGTGAAATGAGAGCCACTTCACACAAAGCTTTGTGAAATCAACAACGGATAAAGAGCTATAAAGCGTCGACTTGAATATAGCTTTCGCATCTTAAAACAACTTCCATTTCACTTCGCACAACAGCAGATTCAAGAATAGAACAAAACAGGTAAGATTTTCCCTCTTATTTAATTTCACTTTGCAGTCAAATAAGAAGGTGGCTTCCCTATGCGAGTACAACGGATCGTGCTTATGCCCCCTGAGCATCCCATAATACTCCTTGAATGGAATTAATTCAATATGGCCGCCGTATCGGTAAAAAGGTCTATTGTACAACATTTTAGGAGCCAGCCAACATAACCTGACACTTTACTCTGATTAGAAGTATTTTGCATCTCAATGTAGTCTTCTATTGTATTTCAATGGACTCTCAATATGGTTCTAAAACTTTTTCAGGCTATAACCACCACATGGTCACATTGTATCTCAATGGCAAGCAACCCTGGCTAAAAATTTTTGGAGATGATCAGAAACCGAGAGTTGTCGTAGTCACAGTTTTGACGTCGCTGATTCTACTTTTGTACGACGGGCTAATGGTATAGTAAATATGACCCAGCTAATACGTGTATTGTGCTGACAAATACTGAATACTATATTGCCTCTGAAAATTGCACCGAAAGTTTCCCTTTTAAGCAAGTACAATCATTTTCTGGTCACCATACGTACCTGGTCAAAAAACCCAAAAACTTTGTTTGCTCTTCTTCCCTCTTGTTTTTCTTTTATTCTCTCCTTTTTTCTTTTGCCTGGCATTTACTTGGATTAGGGAAATGCTAGACGGAAAAAAGGTAATGGGTGTGTTACCATTATGCACTTTCCAAACTACTTTCAACGGAAGTAGGTTGGAAGTATCGCTCCATGTAAGGGAATCGGAGAAATTTTTGCTTATGGAAACCGGAATCCGGGAAAAATATGCATGTGGAATCTGAAATCTTGGGCTTTGGAATCCTGAATCGGGAATCCCAATAACGACTGGAATCCAGAATCCAAGTTCCACTGACAAATACTGCAATCCAGCACCTGGAATCCGGAATCCACGGCGTGGAATCCAGAGTCCAGGACTAGTGGATTACCCTAGAAGGGACGAGAAGTAGGTTGGAAATTGCAAATTAACCAAGAAAACATCATGAACCTATTTATTGAGAACTCTCAAAAGAGTGCATGAAACACTACTGATTTAAGGTTGGAATTGTCTTTTCTGTCCTAGGCGACGTTTGGCGCATATGTTTACTCGTACGCTGTTAAAGGAGCTGTTCATATCAAGCCCAGTCACGCAGCTTATCTCAACTCTCTCTTTTGGGTGAGTGTTATGTGAGTGTTATGTCACGCAACTTCATGTCACACAATAATCTGACACCCAATTAAAAAGAATGGTCTGTCGTGGTGAAAGTTAGCAGGTAACATTAAACTGTTATCTTAATGGGAGTGAAGTCACAATTTCGCATCAGTTATGTATGCTATGGAACTTTTGGAGTACAACCAGGTTTTTGTACTCTATTATATCTTCCTCTTGCATTCCCATGTGTTGCCCCTGTTTTTATTGGGCAGCTTGTGGCACCCAATCTTACAATGGGACGCGTCTCCTCTGTTCAGAAAAAAGACAAAATGGCGGACGGATCACTATTCCCCTCCCTCCTACGACGGGGCACCTTTTTAAATTTATGTATAACTGACATACCATGTCAAGCAAGTTAAATATCACACAATGGTATCAAAAGGGTAACTCGGAAATAAACAGTTTGTTACCACGTTAATTAGCGGAGAACACTAGGCTGATTTAGCAACAGAACGGGAACGTCATTTGACGACGGGAAAGCGCGCGGAAAGGACTAAACTCCACTTCCAGTGCCCAATTTGCCACTCAGCCATTGGTCTAGCCAGTTGTTTGATTTGCGCGCGCCGTCGTCATCTGACGTTCCCGTTCTGTTGCTAAATCAGCCTATTAACGGTAACTTTACCCCGCTCGCGGCGTGACTTTACTGTTTTGCAGAACCAGCTCTTTCACTTTTGACATGTCGCCCCACTTAAGGCAGTCCCAGACTATCTTGGATTCTGGAATTCACTCTGTGGATTCCGAATCCCAAGTACTGGATTACGGATTCCTTGTCAGTGGAACTTGGATTCCGGATTCCAAACGTTAACGGGATTCCGGATTCCTTGAGCTGAATTCCAGATTCCAAAAAATCAATCCGGAAACCGGATTACCTTGAAAGAGGTCAGGCATTCTCACGCATATGATTGTAAATACTTATAAATCATACATTAGTTATGAAATCTCATTTGTATATAATAATCTATTGTTTCAGGGCTCCCTTTCAGTTGGTCGGTTTGTTTCCATACCGATAGCGATGTATGTCAAACCTCCAACCATGCTGATGATTAACTTGGTAACATCATCAAATGTGTTTCTTTTAAACAAACTACTGAAACCCTAATAGCATCAGAGAGAAGTTCCTCCGGGCGTTCCAATTTACAATCACTTAAATTACAGACTTGCGACAATTTATTCTGAATAACGTTTGAAGAACAGTTGCTTTCATTTAAATTATCACACTTTAGGATTTCATCCACAAACTCATCAGTTAGAACCTCCTTGTACAGCATAATAAACAGTACCACAGGAAAGTACTGCTCAATAGCTTTCATTTGAATGGTCACACTTTAGGATTTCATCCACAAAGTCAAAAGATAGAACCACCTTGTACAGCATAATAAACAGTACCACACGAAAGTACTGCTCAGTAGCTTCCATTTGAATGGTCACACTTCAGGTTTTCATACACAGACTCAAAAGTTAGAACCACCTTGTACAGCAAAATAAACAGTACCACAGGAAAGTACTGCCCAGTAGCTTTCATTTGAATGGTCACACCATAGGATTTCATCCACAGACTCAAAATGTAGAACCACCTTGTACAGCATAATAAACAGTACCACAGGAAAGTACTGCTCAGTAGCTTTCATTTGAATGGTCACACTTTAGGATTTCATCCACAAAGTCAAAAGTTAGAACCACCTTGTACAGCATAATAAACAGTACCACACGAAAGTACTGCTTAGTAGCTTTCATTTGAATGGTCACACTTTAGGATTTCATCCACAAAGTCAAAGGTGAGAACCACCTTGTACAGCATAATAAACAGTACCACACGAAAGTACTGCTCAGTAGCTTTCATTTGAATGGTCACACTTTAGGATTTCATCCACAGAGTCAAAAGTTAGAACCACCTTGTACAGCATAATAAACAGTACCACACGAAAGTACTGCTCAATAGCTTTCATTTGAATGGTCACACTTCAGGATTTCATACACAAAGTCAAAAGATAGAGCCACCTTGTACAGCATAATAAACAGTACCACAGGAAAGTACTGCTCAATAGCTTTCATTTGAATGGTCACACTTTAGGATTTCATCCACAAAGTCAAAAGATAGAGCCACCTTGTACAGCATAATAAACAGTACCACAGGAAAGTACTGCTCAGTAGCTTCCATTCGAATGGTCACACTTCAGGATTTCATACACAAAGTCAAAAGATAGAACCACCTTGTACAGCATAATAAACAGTATCACAGGAAAGTACTGCTCAGTAGCTTTCATTTGAATGGTCACACTTTAGGATTTCATCCACAGACTTAAAAGTCAGAGTAACCTTTTACAGCATATTAAACAGTATAGTACCAGTACGGAGAAAGTACTGCTCTGAATAGCTTTCACTTATATGAGTATAGTTAGGATTTCATCCACTCACATTAAAAAAGGACTAAACAGTTAGAACAACATTCATCGTCTCAATTTATTGGCACCAGAGGAACGTTTTGCTAAGTGGCTTTCATTTGAATAGTGGCAATTAAGAATTTCATGTGCGCTTTGGTTCGAACCACCTTGTATGACATAATAAACAGTACCACGGGTCACTGAGTACTTCTCAGTAGCTATCATTTGAATGGTCACGCGTACTTTAGGATTTCATCCATACACTCAGAAGTTAAAACCAGCTTGTATAGCGTGAAAAGATGAGATTTCATTCATAGACTAATTCGAGACACTTAAAGCTAACCTTCTAAAGAAACACCTATGTAGGTCCTATTAACCTCCATCCACTACTGACTCGTGTTTATTATGTTAGTAGTAAACACAACCACTGTTTACTTGAATTTGGGCAATCACGTTCTTTTCCAGATTGGCTGCCTTTCAGCGACTCTTTTCATGTTGATTTTCGAAGAAAGTGAGCCAGCATTATGGTTGGGAACCAGCGGTGCTGGTTTATTTATGAGCAGTGTCTTCCCAACAAGCATTGCCCTCGCAGAATACTATATAGATTTAACAGGTAACTATCATTATCATGCTAAATATCATAGTCGACACTAAGCGATCAGTTTTGTCGCAAACAGCAGTACGCTAATGATTAAAGGAGGAAGCCTGACACCACACTCAGTCTTTCTTCTTCTTTCAAGCTGACCTTCCATATAATTGTCAGGATCACCACGATCGTCGAAGTCCTTTTAAAATAAGTTCAGGCGCTTGAGTCGATTATACCTCTGTTGCAGTTAGGCAAGATCCGGACCACGGCTAGGCTCACGGCTAAGACATTTTAGAAATTTAGTATCATGATTTTTTTTGAGTTTTTGTCTGTTCTGATCCTTGTTAATCTCGTTATATATTCGTCCTAATCCATCACCAGTTCCTCTTCCGATATTTTAATATAAATTCGTCAAAGTAATATTTCGAGGCCTCCTCTGATTAAATAATTGTGTATGCCGTCAAAATATAGTGACTCAGTGAAACCTCCTGACAGTTTTCCTTCAATGAGGAAAGAATTACGAGAGAGTTATGTTAGAAATAATTATGCTAACGTTCTCAGACCACCTTGCCTCTTAGTTGTCTTTTCACACCTGCTCTAATGTAATTTCCGTTTGTCTCTGCCTATTCGATGTCGAAAATGATTAAAGAAATTTACTAAAAATAGTATGTAAAAAAATTGTGTGTGCGTTTCAGCCCCTGTGACAAGTGTGATGATTGTCAGTGCAGCTCTGGGTGAATTAATACTGCCTTTAGTAGTTGGACAGGTAGGTAATTCCGTTGGCGAAAAGAAGATATTGAGTAGATAATCAGCAGATACTAACCCCCAACCTCGTTCCCAGGGCTCTCTCCTACCCGCCCTACAGAGCGAGAGAGAACCGTAGGGCGGGTAGGAGAGAACCTTGGGAACGAGGTTGATTAACCCCTCAACCACTTGTATCAGGAGATTTTTTTGTTCGTTTTCAAAAAAGTACGCATCCATACGAATCGTAAGTCAAATTGTTTTTGCTCATCCAGACGAAAACGCTAAAACGATACAAATAGGAAAGCGTCCTTTGCGTCGTATTCGAGAAAAAAAAAACCTCTGTTTCTAAAAACTGATATCCGTATACGTGTGGACGGGGCCTAAGTATTTGGTAAATATTATTGCGGGCGACAACAGGAGCCCGCAATCCTAATCTCCAGGTTGATATTACGCATGCTCCACGGTTTCCGTAGCAAGCTTCGTTTGGACTTCCACTAAGAATTTATGGAATGCATTGAAGGCAATCTGTGATCACGCTCGTTCGGATCTTCTATCACTTGTAATCACGTGTGTTTTGATCATATATCACGTGAAACTTAATCAAAGCACAGCGTTTGAGCAAAAGCGTTTTGACCTTTGATCGTTGTCGCCCGTACTCCGTAACCTTTGGTTATTACTAGATATAAATAGATAGTGAAAATAGGATTAGTACATGGTAAGTTAATTGCAAACGGATGAAAAATGAAATGCCGAGTATAAACAGATGGAAAGTGAAAAATAAAAGGGAAATTGCTCATATATTGATACGAAATATAAAAGGTAAGCAGAAAAATTGATGATCAGCTGTGAAATAATGGATAGTACTTCAATGGCCGGTTTCCGTTAATTACCAGACGATACATTTTCGTAGGTTTTTGAAAGACTTGGTCCTGTTAGTTTTCTGGCGATCGCCTTCTGCGCATGTTTTATGGCCTTGATGATCTTCATTCTTTTGAGGTCAGCGGAGAGATCAGAGACAGGTAAGCTTCTCACGTTTTCTTAGTTAACGCATTTATCGATTGGATTTATTTAATCGCATCCAACACTTGTCCTCAATGATCGGTGGAGGTGGAGGGGGTGGGGGCTACTAGCAAAGTTTAATACTGGGAGGCTCCGCCTCGAGGTCTAACCCCTTAGCTTTTTATACAGTGGAACCTCCGTTAACGGACACCTGTCTATAACGGCCACTTTTTTCGTCCCGGCGGGCAAAAGATCCATAGATTGACTCTTGTTTAAAACCTCTCTAAAACGGCCACTTCTTTACAATGGCCACTTTCTTCTGTCCCCAAGGTGGCCGTTGAAGAGAGATTTAGGGCCTGTTTACATGGAGGTGGGGTCTCCAGGTAGGTGAGGTAACCCGCTCAGGTGGGCTAACCCGTCTGTCCATATGACCTCTCATTTTAATTTGATCACGTTTACATGGTAGGTGGGGTGACCCGCCACATGTGACCTCACCTATCTGGGGTCCCCCACCTCCATGTAAACAGGCCCTTAACTGTATAGCATTTTTGACAGAAAAGAGGTCTCTTTCTTTTACCTTCTGTTGACAAATGGTACCCTTTGCACATACTTAGTGAAGAACATGGCATCCCTTTTAACTGCTGTAAATGTACCGTCTTTTAAATATGAGTAAATTACTAAACCATGAAGTGTTCTTGCCATTTTCACAGCCAAAAATGCATCTGTTAGCCCTTTTAGGTCCTTTTGCAGACTTAAATGACAGATTTATCGAACCTTTTTTAGTAAAAGCCAACTAGTGGTCTATTATCAATGCTGCGTTTTGATTGGTTGAGCAACTACTAGGCTATATGTTATAGCCCACTAGTAGCGAAAAGCGCCGGCTTTGAAAACCAATTGTTAAATATACTACAACTAGTAAAATTTCCACCCTTTCATTTACCTGAAGCCTGGAAAAGGTACCCCATTAACAAAGGGGAACTTCTCCTTATAGGCCATTTAAGGAGTAACCTCCCGGGTCTTTGCTCCATTCTTTCAAAGTGCACACTGATTTGGGTTGTTCTGTTCCCCTTGTCCCTATCACTGGGTCATGTCGGTCGCGCAAAGCATTTCGCATTTGATACAACTCACAGGGACGTATTTCTTTACACAGTTTTCTTAATTAGCATTTTGTAATAGACATTAAGAGTTCCGTTTCTTTCTTAACAGATTGGCTTGGATTTTTCTGGTTTGTTTGGTGTGGAAATCCACCGAGCTCTGCCAATCAACCCACATTTGATCAGAACCAAAACCCCGACCCCTCCACCACAGTGGAAACTGGTAAAAGCCCACCGATTGAGACAGTGGAACTAAACATCCAAGGATAGCATCCATAAGTCTTAGGAAACCTGTTGGGTCAATAGACCTCTTTATCTTGTTTGTTTTGTATTCCTAATGTATGCAGTGGCGGATTCAGGTGAGCCCCCCCCGCTTATTTCAGACCAAACTGAGGCCCGAAGGACCGAAAAATTTTTTTTGGGGGCCGGCCGCCCCCCCCCCCTTTTGTAAGGGTCTGGATGACCGTTCCCCCCCCCCCCACCTTATCTCAAGGTCTGGATCGGGCACTGGTATGTCATGTCATAATTTTGTTTCATTCAAATTTTAGACTTCCCTTGCATATGTACGCATAATTTATGAAAAGACAGGAGGAAAACTGCACCCCTGAGACCATGACTTATCGGGAAATCAAAACATACAAGCTGAAGAGGTCTATTTAACCAAAAAGATAAGGGATTTTTTAAAAGCGAATTTCTTGTTTGGGATTTGTTGAGAGCTCTTTTTTATTTTTACTTTGATCAAAACCCAACTGTCAGCTGCAATTGTCAGCTGCAACTGTCATTTTAAACTTTTAAGTTCCGAACTCGCCTAAACGGTGCATTTTTAAAAAGGTTTTCGAGCATGTGTACGGAAAATATCACCCTGCCAGCAGAACCTTTCGGATCAATTTAGGTTTCAGGCAAACTGTCCACCTACCCCTTCCCTAAGCTAACATTAACACCTACTTCTCACTTAAAGCAAAATGATGGCTTAGGGGAGGGGTAGGTGGGCAGTTTCCCCGAAACGTAAAATGATCCGACAAAATTAGGCCCTGGTTGCAGGGTGGGTAAATATATAGATCAATTTAGGTTTCTGGGAAACTGCCCACCTACCTCTCCCCTAACCCAACATTTTGCCTTCAGTGAGAAGTAGGTGTTAATGTTGATTTAGGGGAGGGGTAGGTGGGCATACTAATTTAAGCACTGTGGCTGCTACCTTACGCATGCGCACAACCATAAAGGACGAAACAGCTGTCCATGGCTGCCTCTACCGGGGTGATATAGTTGTGCGCATGCGTAAGGTACTGGCCATACCGCGGAGTTGGTACTCGTGCTTCAGTGCTTAAATTGGTACTCTTCGCAATTATCCACACTGAAAGGCAGAGATGAAAAAGGGGGAGCACAGATTTGTTTTAATATTTGACTGATAATACATGGGATTATGTAAGCTAGCCTTGTCTAATGCTAGCAGCAGAGTCTGAAATATCACGACACGGACATTGCGTAGGCCGACAGGACTTTCCTTTTATAATTATAGTTTGGAAATTAAGGGTTCATTAGAAACTTCCGCTACCGACTAGACTTGTTCAAGTGTATCTATAGATAGTAAGTTCAAAGTCAAAGGGATTAAATTTGATGTGTTTGTGATTAACAAGTGTTCTTTATCTTCATATCCCTCTGGCCTTAAGCGAGGGAATCGGAACTAAAGGCGTTAAAGGGACAAGGGTCCCAAACGGGTATTCGGAGGTCGGTATTTGCCTTATTGAATTGCGGGATTCTTGATCTCGAGGTAAAATGGGGGCGAGATTCGGGATTAAAAACATTCACGGGATGCCGAAAATAATGATTCATTGGGATTAGGTTGAATAGAGGGAAAATGTTCGGGATGATAGAGTTTAAGGACCCCAATGGGAATCCTGAGGGACTGAACTTGGAAAGAATTTTGCCGTTTTGTTTCCCCGAGTATCCAGCTAAACTTATAGTCTCCCTCACACCCCTTTTTGTCTCGTCGCGCAACGGAGTGTTGCGTTAGACAAAAACGGCTGCGAGGGTGATCGAACCTTTTGCGCAGACTCAAAAGCGAAAATGACATTGTTGCGTTGAAAGGTAATTTTGACCGCATTTTTAATTCAAACAAGAAACATGTACGTGCCACTATCAATGATATTTTTATCTCGCTTGCAAAGTTGGATAATCTCCCGCCTTACAAAATTGATGAAGATTTTTGCCCTTTAACTGAAAAAAACAAAACAAACAAACAACAACAACAAAAAGAGGCAGGTCGATTTGAATAGCGTTGTGCGTCAGAGTTGCCATAACTTATTGCATAATTAGTGATGTAGATTGTAAAAATAAAGCTGATGTGTCGACGTATAAATTTCAAAGGTATTAGAATTCGATTTTTATTCACAATTGCACCCCTTTACGTATGATGGAATATTTGGCTTTAAGTTCTGTAACTATAAGTTCTTCGAAGCTTATAGATGATTGAATGTTGACCCTGAAAAAAGAAAAGGAAAGTTATTATAATAAATTATTAAAAAATCGATCTATTTAAGCAAACTTTCCTTTGTAGAGGCTATACAAATTTGCTCTTGTTTGGGGTTGAATTAAAACTGATGTCGTAAGACTTAACGAAATTTTAAAATCTAAAAACCTAAACGTGTGAGGTTTCTTTTGGACTGATAAAAATACTAATTTGTGTTTAATAAAGAACTACATATTAATGAACAGAAATCGACAAATGCCAAATACGCGATTTTTTTTATATCACTATCTAAATACATCATGGGGCCTTCCATGTAAAGCTTCCAAACGTTGCACGAGGACGAAAGAGTGGAATATACAATCTCTAGGCTGCGAGTGCATTGAGTTGACGTGCTTTTCTAGGAGCCAGTTAAAGTTTTGTTATGACTGCCGAGATCAGAAGAGTGCGCTACCTAGACATATCCTCTCGGACTAATTACCGGACGTAGTCAACACGAAGGTGTGTGAACCCATTTAAGCATGGCTTCACCCAATCAGATTCATCTTCTTACGTCAACTGCGCTCTACTTAAGACGATCGATTTACTACTGTCAACAAACATGCGTGTTGACAAAAATTACTTTATAAACTACGCCTCTTAAGATTAGCGATAGCGGTTTCCGCTGATCCCCTGACATCATGCTAATTTGCATTGAGTTGGCGTTTACGCGGGCGAGCCGATCAGAAATCGTGCCACGTTCGCGATAATTTAAACCTTATCGTAAGTTCTTGTTACATTTAATGGAAATCTTATAGCCGAGGAACAGTCCCCGAGGATTTGCTTGAGAACTGTAAAATTTTTAATGTGAAATTAAGCAGGTGATTGGAGAGATAACCAAGTAATGATGTGTTGGGCACACGCGAAAACTTGATCATCTTCTATCTCCGTGTTTTGTGCCACAACGTTCATTTCCTGAGTTTAGTTTTATTTTTGGAAAAAGTTAATAGGCAGGAATTAATGACTCAGGTACGACTCAGAATCATACAGAAAACTACGAATATTTTGGCATACAACCACAAATCGATGGATATCTCGATCGTCGCGTAAGAAAGAATGTGTGAAGTTGTTCTTCATTCCTATGTGTTGCTGTAAACCGCATCATGGGGTCTTGTTTGAATTTAAAGAAGTTGTTAGGAAGAGCAAACCACTGACGATAAAGAAGCTGTTCGCTTTGTTGGCCTAACGCCGAAGACTGCTGGGTATTAATATTTTTAAGACACGCTGTTGTGTTTTCACCTGTCGATCATTATATTTCGACATGGCCACAGCTCAAACACCGTCACCAAATGGCGCTGTTTCTAAACTAGTGGCCGCTCAATTGAGAATGCATACACAAAGTAGCGATGGGTTTGTCCGTCCTTTGTGGCTAACAGATCCACCTATCGAAGGCCAAGAATTGTTTTTTGAAGGAGTTCCAATGATTGAGCTAAACGAGAAAAGTTCTACTGCCTCAACAGTAGAAAGACCCAGCCGCTTCAGATCCTTGCGTCAGAAAGTCAATGCACCTAGCGAAGTCAACGGTTTCATGTTAAATCACGAAGGTAAACTTGAAGAATCGCTGATGAAAGCTGTTCAAGAGGGGAACGTACAAGTTATTGAAGTTCTAATTGATCATTATCTCCAGCTTTTTGACTTGGAGGATTTTTATGAAAATAACGTTTCCACGAGTTTAGGAACCGCAGGCAATTCCCAAAAAACTCCAGTAAATTTTTTGCCGCTGGTAGTGGCTGCGCATTTTGGGAAATATGAGGTTCTTAAACTTTTTATATCCAAAGGTTTTACGTTGGAAAAGCCGCACGATGTCTTATGCGAGTGCTGCAGTTGCCAAGAAGATTATTTTCGACAATCGCAAAAACGCCTTGATGTTTATAGAGCTATGGCAAATCCGATGTGGATTTCGTTAACGGGAAGTGATCCCTTTACAACCGCGTTCAAGCTAAGTCGCGATTTAAAAACGTCCGCAAAACAAGAGGACGAATTCGAGAAGGATTACCTGGCGTTATCGTTGCAATGTAGCCAATTCGCACTGGGGCTTCTAGACGAGTGTAAAACATGCAAGGAGCAGACCACTGTGTTAAATTTCCCGGGGAATGAAGCCAGCGAAGAGGAGTTCGCCGAAGAAGCATTAGGATTACTGCACCATGCTATTTCTTACGGGCAAAAAGAGGTAAGCATTTTATAAGAGATAATCAAATTAGCTAAGAAGTCGTGATAAAACAGGTACTTCAGCTAAGAAATTGCGTTTTGGTTTGAATGAATCTTCGTATTTACAAAACGTGTTTCTGTTAGCTTTATTTAATCAATTTTGCGGTCTGAGTCGTATAACTCTTTAGTACATTTTCATCAATCCTTGAGGTTAGAACGCGACACCTAATCAGTTACAGAATCTTATTGTGGATCGCATCCTATTCAGTGAAATGTAATATCCATAAAAGACCTTTAATTCATAACATATTACTGATTTTTATGCTCAAAGCAATTTTTCCCCGTACATTTGCATAAAACAAATATTCGCTTCCGCACTTAGCGGGATCGAAACCCACCATGGCGACTAGTGAAAACTCCCACAAAATGTCCATTTCAGAAAATGAAAGACATCTGCAACTGAAAAAGTTTTCATATAGCTTTTATTATTCGGTAGACAGAAGCAAAAGAAAAACGAAAGTTCTCCGCAAAAATTTGATTTGTAGAACATTAACTCTGCACAAGGCATAACTGGCTTTTTATTAGCGGTTTTTCCACGACGGGAGTTTTTACAAGTTTAAACTCACATCTATGTATCGCTAGGAAGCCATAACGTTGTAAAAAAGCAAATTAAATGCAATGTACAATTGTGTTCTTACCGCCAAAAATAAAAAAAGAGTGCGACTCAGATTTATTTGACAGATTGACACGAACATGACGAAGATAGTTTCTTCGTCATTTTGAAGAACAAATAAGTTGTGAGAGCGTTTATGTGAAAAAAAAGCATTGAAAAATCAAACTTAAAATGAAGAATATTCAGAAATACAACATTTATTTCTTTAATCGCTGAATATTAAACTTAAAACGAACAACTTGACAGGATAGAGGAGTAAAAGCAACCTGTAATTGGCTGTTTTTTATTGATTATCATATTTTAAAACCTTTTCTTATCCTCGCAGACTAGAAATCGTTATTAATAACCTCAGCGCCGGGAAAATAAAAAAGTTTAATTATAATTCCGGAGACAAAAGACTGATGCCATGCAGTCCGAGTTTATAAAAATACGGTATAAT